TGGAAGCATCCAAAACCAATCTCCAAAAGTATGACTACATAAAACATATGTAGTCAGTTAAAATCAATAATTTCTTTCCTTTCAAGCCATTCAGAAACAACAGCAAACATGGCCGTGTGCATGAAAATCAGGAGGGCCTGAGCAGCCAGCCCCTACATGTATATAACCTTGGTGCTGCAGTCACCTGTCTGTAAAGGAGGGCCAGAGGGGATTAAAGGCATCAATTGTGCACCACAATGTAAATATAAAAAAAACAACAACTTGTTAGTTTATAGTCAAATCATTCTTCAAACAAGAATATTTCACATTCATATCTATAAAACAATCAGACAAATAGTAAACTATAAAGAACAAAATATTCACTAAAATAAACATAAATCAAGCATTTTGCTCCTACACTGTCCATAAAATATAAATAAATATGTTGTTGTTTTTTTTAGTTTATTGTTGGAATGTGTCTTTATGCATACTGATAAATTTCTCTATTCATTTAATATGTATTTAACGCTCTGTGTACTTCAGTGTTACATGTTCGCAAGGTATCACCTGTATCTGTTTATAAAATTTATTTGATGAGATCAAATATGGGGAAAAGAAATCTAGCAGATTACTTTGGATCTGCAAACTGAGGAGTCATGGAGTTACTGATCAGGTGTCATATCTGTTTTGTTGCATAACAACAGATTTTTAGGGTTAGCTCTGGTGTTTACCTTCAAGAACTCAAACCACCATAAAGTGGTGTTCTGACTCAGATCACCTGTTCAGTCACTGATCAGACCTGCTACCATGACTTTTTTAATAGAAAAGCAGCCTGTAGGGATTATCGATACATACCAAGTGCTGTATATTGACCTAAATATCTAAAGCTAAGCTAATACCAGGGTCAAAACTGGCACAGTGTTGCTTTCGGTAAGCTCTTCAGTGATTGATCATCTCACACTTATTTCCCAAACTCATAAAGCATTTTTGAGTTTTCTGCTGTTTATATTTTTTCTCCATCTATAGACTTTGAAAGGCTAATATGTAAATCATTAATCTCGAGGCTGCTTTATAAATACTTTATTCAGGTTAACAATAAAAACTAGAATCAAGTTGTTTTTGTGTATTTTCTTCACAGAAAATGTAATAAAACTAGAGCAGTAGGACAATCAATTACAATTACATAATGTTTAGCTTTTAACCCTGATACCTATAATCAAAAGGGTTATTTTAGTAATCAGTGTTTACAGTTTTATCACTTACGATCACAAATCATTTTAATACACCTATTCAGTTTGATGAAATGCAAAGAAATGGATTATAAAGAGACCAGATCCTCCCATGACGCCATTATCAGTATACAATGATGTCACTATGTCAGACGTTCAGTCTCTGCGTCTGTTCTGCTCCTTTTGCTTCCATTTATGGGAGTAATATTGATTTCAAACAGATTGACCCATGACTTGTTGTGGTTAGAGGTCTGTGGTTAAAAAAAATTCTCCGTCAATGTTACAGAGATACTGTTCATAGCTCACTGTTCTTTAACACACAAAAGTGAGAGCAAAATAAAAGAAATATTATTCCTAGACCTGAAAGAAAAGAAAATACATTTACATTTTTGATGGGATTAAAGAGTCAAACTGAGAGTGCATTTATTAATTATTTATTAACAGTACTTGATAATTATTAATGTTATCATATCATAAAACACATTTTCATGTCATTTCAATTAAAATAGATCTCTATATTTATGGGTAAAATTTTACTCTGAATCATCCAGGAAAATCCAACCTTACCACTTTATCAGAATAATAAGTCAGCCTTTCACAATTTGAGCAAATCAGTGCATTTAAATGTGGTACGAAGAAATAAAATAATAATATAGTAATAGTAAAATAGTAATAAAAAATGCTTGAGAAATTGTCTCTGCACACTTTGGGTCCCTGTCAGCACCCTTTCCCTACAAACTTTTTCAGTATTGCTGTTGAGTATCCTCAGTGCAATCAGTGATGATGGCTATCTAATTTCACAAAACTCTAATCATCATATACTGGTTCCTGAGAGATAAAAATGACTGAGATGTACTCCAACTGGGTCCAATAGATCTAAATTGGATTGTAGCAGAAGAGTGCAACTAAAACAATCTGCAGCAACTTTTTTGTTGTTGTCATGTTTTGGCCTGAACATATTTTAGAAATATGTTAGCAGACTTGTTGAATCTGCACCACAAAAAGATAGTTAACCATTTCTGAATAGGAGCAACCTGTTAAAAGAAAGGTTTTTCCAAATAAGGTGGCTGGCTTTTATTAATTGCGTTACATCAGATTGGTTGTCTCTTTTTTTCTTCTGAACATCGGTTACAATTTTGAAAGTAAAGTCTTGAAATTCCCACAAACTTCCTTAACATCCACCATCAATTTCAATCCATGGTTTTTATGTGATTCTACAAAAAAGTGAAACTGCAATGGATAAATTTAAAAGTATTCTAAACCAACAAAAATTGCAATCCTTAATAATTCAAATTAACAGCATTATTGCTTAGATGATTATTTAAAAAGCCAAACAAAAACATACCCATGCTTGCAGCCAAAGCAGAGAGAAAACCTGTTTTAAAAAAGCTGTGGCTGAAATAGTTTTTTTTTTTAAACAGAAAACCACTGATGGCAAAGCGACAAATTTAATCACACTCACACATTAAACACTTAAATAAAATAAAGACATAAAAGGCAGGACTCTGGAAAACTGTTGAGGATGTCATTGAGACGTTTGATTCGTGTGTGTTGGACCAAGGACACATATAGCAGTGGGGGGGGCACCAGGCCTTGAGGAATCGAGCTGAATTCCTCTGCAGAAGGTTACTCAACATACTACAAAGTAACAAAAAAGTACTGTGCTACAAGGTTTTTTTTTATTTAAAAAAAATCTACAGATAACAAAGTAAATAAATAAAACAATGTTTGCATTTTACAAGATGACTTGATAAAACTTGGCAGATAGCTTTAGGTTTGCTTGAGAATTTTGCTTTAAAACTGCAGATAAATGAGCCTCATTTTAAGGGTTTTCTGGAAAATTTGAAAGACTATAAGTTTTTGTATGCTAAGCAAGTTTCTAAACAAAAAGTGATGCTTATTTGGTACAGACATGGAACAGTACATGTTAGACATGTCCTTCCTGTCCTGAAAGCACAAACAGGCTCCATTGGGAAAATAAATAATCACATGTCCCTGGATAAAGTTTTGACTGCTTTGCCTTTTTCTTTTTGTCTCTATTTGCCAGTCTTTCTTCTAAACTCCACGCTTCTTTCATCAGTTTGCTTTAATGTTTGTGGAAATCCGTCAATCTGTCTTGTATCAATGCTACAGCCTATTTGCACTGCATATTGACTGAATTGTGTTCTATGTTTTGCTATGTACTCACTCATCTCATTTCTACCTCACCTACTCCACAGTGTGGGCTGGCTGAGATAGTAGATGAGACATCAAATGACATTGTCTGAATCCAGGGAAGGTCCATGGATTTTATCAGCATAGTCATTGATCTTTTTCATATGATGACTATGGGTATAAAAAGTACAAGACTAGAATTTTATTCTAACAGGGAATTGTGGTTTAACATAGTTCAAATAAACGAATGGAACTGATTCACTTGGGGAGATGTTTATAATTACTGACTTAGGAAAACTATTTGGCTATTATCCACGCAATGAAATAGACATTTCATCCCAGCGCTGCGTGTTCCGAGCTCGTAACATCATCAATGACCCCTCACACCCCCACCATGGGCTGTTCTCCCTGCTGCCCTCTGGGTAGAGGCTTCACGGCATTCAATGCAGATCCAACAGATTCCAAAACAGCTTCTTCGCCGCTGCCGTCAGACAGCTGAATGTTGAAAAAAAATCACAGAGTCACAGACTCTGCATCAAACTGACCATACATGACCATGTGTTTTCTCCCACAATGTTTACATTTGATCACTGCTGTACTTTAAAAAATGGAAATTTCATGAGAGCTGTATGTTTTATATACACTCTGTATACAGTATATGACTGTAAAAGTTGTCTAAGTCTAAGAAAAGATACCCTTCAAAAGCAAAACAGCACATGAACCACATTAGGGAGCAAGGAGAAAGAGGGTGCAGCATTGCTTTTGGTCAACAGTTCAATTTCTTTGACCAGTATGAACCTGGACCCTTGAGAGAACAGGCTGCTCCACAGTTCATTTGTAACTGTTTAATATAGAGCAATTTTTGCCTACTTGTTTTCTCTTTCCTTAATCTCTTTCTCATTTAAAGTCTACATTGATTTTTTTATTTTTGTATGTTGCGCCTTATTTCAAGTCTTTTTTTTGTTTGTTTGTTTTTACATAATACATAATCATTGCGATTAGTATGAGAATCGCACCAACTTTGACTAAAATACAACAGTTAGTTAGTCAGAAAAAAGTATATTCTGAAAAGAAAATTATACAGTGGTATGGATAATCATAGCAGTTTAAAACATTAAAAACATTTCAAAACCACATCCCTCAAGTGAT